TCATTTGATCAACTTTTAGATGAAGGCTGTATAGAACAGAGTCCAAGATTTGGTCAACAAAATTATGGCATTCCAAATTCTGAATATGGAGTTCAGAACCACCAGCAGGAGGTGAATTATGACATCCCAATTCAGAATGTGAGCTTGTTTTCATCAGCTGATGGTGCCATTTTCAGTGAATTCCAGAGCTACCCACATGGCCATTTTCTCAATTTCCAGTCTTTTCAAGAAGACACAATCCTTTCCTCTGGTGATCATCAAGACAGCTTCTTAACCAGTTCAATTCCAATATATTCCAATTCCAATTTGGAAATGAGTAGATATAAAAGAAGTCTGAATGGGAATGTTGCCAGTTCAAATTCAGGAAACGGAGAGGATTATTCTTCATTCAGTTTATTAGCACATCATTTCCCATCAGTTTTAAGTGAAAACCAGGTCATTTCTCATAGGGAACCCCTTCAGTCCAGCTTTTTTCCTCTAATCAGTGGTGATCCATTGAGCACACAACTTCAGACCCTTTCTTATGATGGTTTCTCAGGGCAGATTTCAAGTGCACCAAGAATTCAAGGGGAAGAGGAGCAGGGCACATTTTCTGCTCTTTGACCTACTGCAACTGCATTACTCATTAAGGCTAGCATTTCTTCACCAGAATATATAGATAGACTTACTACTTTCCTTTCCAGAATCTTTTTTGACTTTTTTAGGAGCTGAAATCTCTGCTGAGTGGACGTAATGCAGAATTTCATATATTATTATTATCTTTCCTATATTGGGTACGAGATGTTTATCCAAATTATATAACCCTCTTGTCTCTAATTAAGCTTCTTTTTATTTTTGTAATTTTACCTCAATTGGATGATCAGCACCTCATCAAAAGATCCATAATATCAATTTGGAGGGGGCACGAGAAGAGAAGAAGAAAAAAGAGAAATGACAAGACTTAGATTAAAAACAAGAATAGTTTAGACGGACCTAAGAGAAAGAAGAATCCTTGAATTAATGAAACGAAGACAAAGATGCGAAAAGGGGGTTATGTATTTGGTCTTGTAGCTGTCAAGCAATCAAATCGAAGGGGCAAAAGAAAGTGAAATTTCAAAGATTTGTCAATTTTCTCTCCGTTCCAATTTATGTGAACCTGTTTGACTGGGCACGAAATTTAAGAAAAAATAATTTTTTTTGAAATTTGTGGTCCTAAACAAGTCAAAAAGTGCCTCAGAGTATTTGTGTGGTTATAAAAACTTCTTATTAAGGGTAGAATTGTAAGTTTAAAGTAAATTGTTACCAAATTTAGAAATGGGTCACTCTTTTTGGAAGGAACCAAAAAGAAAATAGGTTCACATAAACTGAAACAGAGAGAAATGGGCCGGGGTACATCAGCAGCAATGGTTGTTTCTTAGGTACATCATATTCATACAAAAGTCTCTTGTTAATGAGCACTGATATAGTTGTCAGTTCTATTGCCAAAGGCATTCAATTTAAAAGCAGCACACTACTGATCCACTTCAATGGTGCATTACCATTGCATACATTCAAGTCCCTAAGAGGAAATCGTTCTTCGTTCGTCAAGGTTTTCTTTGTACTAAGATGTTGATTAACTTTATAAAATTAGGAAGGATTAAAGATTCACACGCTGTCATTAATTATTATCCATATATAACTTATTGATTCAAATTATATATACAGAGAGTTTAAAGTTTTTTTTTTTTTACATGATTATAATTAACTTATTATAGTAGGTTAATTATCATTTATATCAGGTTTCCTATTAAGTAAGGCTTATCAGATAAATTACCTTCAATTATCTTATAAGTGACTTATTGTATAAATATTTTTATACAATTAGTACATAAAATATAACCCAACTAATTTGGATTTAAATTATATACTGCAAATAATTTTTACACACCACCAACTCAATCCGCTATAGCAGTTATTGCTTGGCATTGCGGGTGTGCCAGTGCGACACTCGTCTGTACGGGGGTTTTCTTTCTCCTTTTCTCCTTAAGGTTAGATATACATTCCTTAATCAACTTGGAAAAACACAATTTGCTCTGTAGAACCTGACACATATGTAGTGACCGCGTGGAGCGTGGGATTTCATGTGTGTCTTTCCGTTAAGCAATGATGGGTGATGGAAAAGCAACTTCTCATTCATGTGGGTACTTTCTAGGGCCATTATAGAGAAGGCGTTCCCAGCATATACCAAAATCGTAAGTGTTGTGTAGGATATGTTAGCAAATTATTAACAAGTTTGACATAGAATATCAAGATTTGCAATAATATACAAACCTAGGTACAGCCTCTCACTTGCTTAGGCAGCAGTGATCATTGGCAGACTTGTTTAACCGGAAAATAGAAAATTCGGTCAATGCTTAATTTTTAGAAGAACTCGGGTTACTGATAATCAAATTTGGAACAAACAAGAAGAATTGAAATAAACGATAGCTGAGTAAAAGAAAACAAAGTAAATCAGTGTATTCTAATAATATTCTATGTCCTTACAAATGTTATTTCTCTCCTTTTATAGCTATCTCTAAGTAATACGTTTATTTCCTCTCATAAAAGAGCCATTATGAGCAATTAATGACATTTAATGTAATGTTATAATTGGCAATCGTAACTGTTTCGTGAAGATTCAATAACGTTTTCCATCATTGATGCTCATTAATTACGGATAATGCGTATCTATACTTTTTGCTATCTAGGTTCATTCCTTCGATGCCTCTTCAAATTATCAGGAGGTTTGAGTACCCGTTCCTTCCTGTTTTATTGAATCTCTGCCCGTGCCTGTTAAATCTCCTGTCTCTTTAGCTATCCTTTGCCAGCTGTCATTCTTTTATTGATCCAAGTGTCTTGACATGTCAGCACAAAATTAATTCCATATGTTAACTTGATTTTTCTCAATACAGATAGTCCCCCCACTTGCCATTTATTCAACAATTGAATATTTGGGAAGTGGATCTCATTAAAGCGGGAATTTTTGCCGCCATTATACCTTCTCGAAAACTGACGCTTCGCATGTCACTTCCATTTAATGCTCGTGGCACGTGGCGCCTTTTATTGGGTCTGCAACCCTTCAGCGTCTTTTAAAGCTTTTTGCGGCTACATCAATCACGAAGTGACAATTTTCATTATGACGTTCCCATCATTACCTTTTTTGTTTGACGGTTGCTTCTGAGTATAAATATATCCTTTGTTTCTTCTTTCATAAAAAAGTTTTCCATTTTTGACTTATTCAATCTTCCTTTCTTCTCCGTATAGCTATATCTTCTTTAAACCCTGATCCACGTAAAGTTCTTATTGTAGATGAACTTCCTCTTGCTCCAACTAGGAGCAGGAGAGGAGGTACGTTACGTAGTTTAGGATCGACGTCCATTCGAGGTTCGCCTTCATCTTTACCTAGTTCCACTCCTCCTTCTTCTTCTAGAAATAGGGGTTCTCTTCCACATAGATCTTCCACCAGAAGTAGGGATTCTAATGAACCAGTCCGTGAACCAACAATAGATGAAATTACCCCCTCTGAACTTTCTTTTTATACTGATAGAGAATCAATTAGGGATCAGGTTTCTTCTATATCCTCTTTTGATCGTGCTGACGTTTACCCTTCTCAGATTACTGAAGGTTTGATCTCTGTTGTTCGTAGAGATTGCCACGGGAAATTTGATTTCTCAATTACAATCCCTAATGCAATATCAAAGGATCACGTCTTACAAGACTGGCTTTTCTTTCGTGTATACATATTCCTTTACACTAGATTTTAGACCCCCCATTGATCTTGTTATCATCGAGTTATGTCGTTTTTTCAATGTTTATTTAGGAAAAATTGGCCCCATTATATGGAGGGCTGTTGCTTGTCAAAGGTACTTAGCTAACTTGGCTAAATTGCCTTTTACCTTTTTTCTTCTGATCCACCTCTACTCCCCTAAGCTGTTCCGACATGGAATCTTTACTTTGGTGGAGAGGAGTAAGAGGGTTTTAGTCAGCCTTGAGGATGACAAGGACCGTGGCTGGTATTTGTTGCTGCTCCTACTGTAGGGTTAGTAGGTGAAGAAAATATACCATTCCCTAAAAAGTGAAATTTTGCACGTAAGTTTACTTTTACAACTTTCTCTCTTCTCTTTTTTCCCCCTTTTTAGTTTTGAAAGGGTTTTTTTTTTCCCGTGACTGTTTAACTTACTCTTGTTTCAGCAACCATGGGAATTGTTGAAGAGATTCCCAATTTCCGTGGTTGGGTAGAGAAATTGTTGACTGTTGCTCCGATGGATCGCAGATTCCGGACTTTCTTTGGCAAGAGCTCAGGAGATAATCCTGAGTTCTTCATCGAAAAGGAAAGCTGACAAACCCCAAGATTCTGAAGAGGAAGAGAAATGGGATGGGAGTTCCTTGGTTAAAAGACCGCGGGTTAGAAGGCGCGTTATTTCAGATGATGAAGTTACTCCTCCCCGTTCTGTTCCCGTGACCGAGCCTGTTGAAGCCACCTTAGTGAGTTCTGACGATGATACTCCTATGGCAGCTCGTGGCTCTGATGAAAAACTTTTTTTCACGTGGGTTTGATAGTGAAAGTTTTGATTTGGTGTCTGATGAAGTACCTCTTGCCTCTTTCCTCGTGTCTGTCCCAGTGGAATGCTCTTTACCTATTTCTACTGCTGCTGTCTCTGTCCCGCCTCAAGCTATTATGACTTCCTCTACAGTCCCCACTACTAGTATTTCTCGCACTGAAGTTGGTTCTTCAAGTGGAAGTAGAGTGATGAAGCAGATTACCATTGAAGTCCCTGCCGATGGTAGTTTTTTGAAAAAGTGAGGTCGGGCTGACGTATGGTTGAAACCCTTGATTGGTCCGGTTGAGAAGTCCAAACTACAAAGTCATAGTTCTTTGACTTGGTTGAATGATATCGTGCAGTCATCACTGAAGGTATTAATTTCTTTTCATGCTTTATAACATTCTCCTATTACCAAGATTCTTACCCTTTTTTTTTTAGATCAATCTCATCGGTACGGAGATGATGAAAAGGGTTTCCCATACAGAGCAATTAATCCATCACTACCAAATTGAGGCAGACAATTGGAAAGAGCAATATGAAAGTCTTCAGCTTGAGATGGAAGTTTTAGAAGAAAGCAAATGTACCTTAGAGCAACAGTTGAGAGTCATGGCATCGGAATTGGCAGTTGAAAAAGCTTCTTCCAATCAAGCGGGCAAGGATAAGAATCTCCTTGAATCTTCTTTTGCTCAACAACTCTCCAAAGCTACTGAAGAGATCAGAGGCCTTAAAGCTTTGCTAAATGAGAAAGAAGTTTATGCTGGTGAGCTTGTTCAAACACTCACGCAGGCCCAAGAAGATCTACAAGTTTCTTCTGACAAGGTTAAGTTTTTGGAGAGTTCACTTGCCCCTTTGCAATCTTCTTATGATGCTGCTTTGGCTGAGAGGGAGGAGCTCAAGAGTGAAATTGATCAATGGGAAAGAGACTATGAGGCTCTTGAGGACAAAGCTGGTGTTGAAGTGAGTTGGGCTATTTTGAACACACACCATGATACCCTTGTGGAGGCTAGCCAAGAGGGTTTTAACTTAGATCCTGAGTTAGCTAAGATAAAAGAAACCATTGAGAAAACTCAGCAAAGCTAAAGTTTTTCTTCTCCCATGGCTGATACTCCCGAGTACGTTGAAGCTAATCTTGGTGCGGTGGATGTCCCAGCTCTTTCAGACCAAATCGAGCCTTCTGTTGCTGATGATGTTGTTTTAGACTCTTCTTCTGCTCCACAGTGAAAGTTTACTTATGAAGTTTTACTTTTTTTCCTTTTTGGTGGAATATGTGGTATTACCCCTGGTTCCATTTTGGGGGTTATGTTTTTGGTGATAGTAAGTCCCCAGGTCTTTTCGGGGCTTTTTGTAAAAATGACAATCAGTTTATGACTAAGTTCATACTTAGTTTAAACTTAATATTATAAAGTTTCCGTTTCAACTCAATTCTCTCGAGTTTCTATTTTACTCTTTTTGCCTTGTTTTTTACAAGTCCAAGGTCTTGCTTTTTTAATTCGTGAGTTTTTGTCTTACCCTTTTGACTTTTTGTATTTTTAGAAATGCTTTATTGACTTCATGGATCTTTGAATCAAAACATGAATTTATAAAAGAGGGCCCTTTTATATATGACACTTAATGAAGAAGACGTCTCAACTTCATAATAGTGTAAAGATACGAAAAAAGAAATAGGAACACACATGTTTCTTGAAATAACTTTGATAAAGTTTTCATTCGAACTTTGTCAAGTTTAAATAACATCTTACATGTATTTAAATATCATCTATTACTCTTCCGTAACTGTTTTCTTTACAACAGATTTGCAAAAAAGAAAGAAAATTCAAGGGTTTCTTTATGACCCATGGCTAAATACTGC